CATAAAGCTCTTAGTAATACAGTAGTCGGTAGGTCTTTATCACAGTGCTGTAATTGGTCATTGAACCTGAATATTCAGCTATAAATGTTAAGCTTTGTGAACACCAGAGCGTTAAGATGGGTGATAGTCATGCAGTTAGAGAAGGAAAAGAAGTATGGAATGAAATTCAAAATTAGCAGAAGAGTAGCTGAGAGTAGAATAAGAGCTAACTTTGTTGTGGACGAAACCTTTCTGTGGGTGTTTTCATGTGCCTGAGTGTTTTTTTCCCCACCCTTAAGGTTCAAAGATCACCCAACGTTAAATGAAAGATATTTATTACTCCATCTGCTTGGTAGAGGTGGCTTTAGTGAAGTGTATAAGGTAATGTACATTTTTTTCCTCTTCTTCATACTAATACCACAAAGATATAGGAATATGTGGTTAAGAAGTACATGTCTTTTTATTGATTTTATGATTCTTTGACTGTTTTTATGTCCTCTCATTACAAAAAAGAGTCTGTGATGGCTTACGCTGTCTTATCTCAAGAGTCTAAAAACTATCCTTGTGCCTTTGCAGTCCCTCTGATATTTGGTACCTGGTTATCACTAGCCAGTCTGATACAAGTAATAACAGCCATTAGAATCAAGATAGGCAGGTAGCCATTTAATATAGTACATTTATGGAAAGGTTGTATCCCTTAATTTAAACATGTGTCACAAGTCTTACATGTCCTGAATTTACCCTAATTTCTACCTATTTTAAGGCCAGTGTTTCTCAAATGTGTATTTATAAATGTAGAAATATTTAATGCTTTATACCTTACTTTTTTTCCACTTTGTTATCTTTCTGCCGAACCTTTAAATATTGAAGTTCCTAAGGTCTCATCATTCTTGTTCTCCTTTCAAATATATCCCCCTCCCATTCACTAAGTTATCACCTATTTGATTTCAGATACAGATGTATAGATACATAGCTATCTACCCCACACTTTCCTTCTGAGCCCCATACCTGCTGGTTTATATGACTTAATCTGTTCACCTCATGTGGATGCTTCATAAGCACAGCAAACTCACATCTGAAATAGAAGTTATCTCTTCTCCCAACGCCCCCCCCCTTTAACACTGCTCCCTACTTTAATACACAGCACTGCCATTTATCTGCCCAGTCCCTCAAGTGAAAAACATAAAAGCCATCCTTCAATTCACCTTGCCCTTAACTCCCTTCCCCCCAACATAACCAGTCCCTGGTATCTGTCATTATTAATGTCATTAAGCTCTCCTAAATCCAGCAATGACCCTTCTCCCTCTCTCTTAGCACAGGGCCTCACTGTCTCTTGTTGCATTGCCTAGCTGATCATCTTTTTTCTGGGCATTGAGTTTCTCCAGTTCATTTGTGTATGCTGCAGCTGGAGTGGCCTTGTTATAAAATGCAGTCTGATCATCTCACTCCCCTGCTTATAAGCCCCAGTGGCTTCCCATTTGCTCTTAGCATAAAGTCATATGAAGGTCATAGTCTCACCTTAAACTTCAGTTCCTATAGAAGGCTTCCCTGTTAGTCTGCCTTTGATTAGCTTCTTGTAACACTTGGTGCTTCATTATATATTGGTATAGTCAGTGATTAAGACCTTGGGTTCTGAAGCCAGACAGGCTGGGTTTGAATCCTGGCTGATTCTGACTGCTGTATAAACTTGGGCTTATTGCTTACCATCCTCTGCCTGTCTTCACCTGGGAATGCTAATAGTACCTACATCATAGGATCATTATAGTGATTAAACGAACTATCACAGGAAAATCACAAAGAACTTTGTTGCTGAGAAAATGTAAGTTCATTAGATTGTTATTAGAAATCCTCTCTGTTCAATGAGACAACCTGTATCCAGTTCTGACTCTGGGGCAAATTATGGGATTTGGATTCAGAGAACTTCATTTCTGATCTTGGTTCAACCATGAACTATTTTTTGTTTTGTTAACTTGGATGAGCATTAAGTGTCACCCATCAAGAGTGATCTGTGAGCTCTCTTCCAATTCCTATTTCTCTGATTCTAATGGTAGTTCATCCTCAGGCACTTAATGGTTGAGTGGTCTTGCTCAGGCCACAAGGTAGAAAAGAAGGTCATAATGTTGCTCACTGTGGATCTAAAAATCACCAAAAGTATAGTTAGCTAGCACTAGCCCCGCCTAGAAGTTGCCCAGCTTCTGAACCTACTGATAGCTTTCATGACAGTCTTCTGCCACTGCCCAATAGTATTTCCATTGTTTTTAGCCCCATAGATAGGGTCTAAAAGGGACTTTTCTTTTGGAAGAAAAGGCTTCTGTAGAAATTAGAAAATGCAGATTGTGGGTCCCTAATGACTTGAACCCTCATTACTGATTTAAATACTAATGACAGCCCCTCCGACCCTTTCAAGTCCTTTCATTGTTGCCAGGTTGCTTGGTAAACAAAGTAGCTGACTGTAAGTCAAAAAATTGACTCTTCTCTATACCAAGGTGGAAAGCATTGAATCAGTTGCTCAGTGATTACCATCTTAGCTTTATGGGAAGGTATACTTTACTCTCCTAATCTTGGGAGAAAGATGTGTCATATACAGTTATTATAATCAATATACATGGATGATAACTTTATTAGTACTTAGAATTTTATTTTCTCCCTTTTTTTTACTATGATTGCCTTTGAGTTTTATAAAAGCTTTTCTGCTTTCTCTCACATGAACTTCTTTTATTCTTTTCTATTATATTTCTTAAAACTTAACTTTTAATAGTATAATGAGCTAATGTTTATTGGATATTTATTATGAATCATGTATTATTCTGAACACTTTATATGTTTCACCCCATTTAGTCAACAACCCAAACTTTATGAGACTGAGGCTATTAGAGAGGGTATTAAGCACAAAGTCATGCAGCTAATAAGTTCATCTGACTCCAAAGTGAATATTCTTAATTACTGCATCCTATATTATTTCTGATCTCATGCTTTTATAATTTCGTGACAAGCAGTTTACGCCTACTGCTTATTCTAAGGTTAAATTGATAGAGGCAGTGGGAACTAGGAACCTTCTTCCTAATAAATATGTAAGCTTTTAGTGTTTTAAGGGAGTGCTTTTGTGTAAAAGTCACAGTTGAACCTAAATTATTAAATTCCTCTTTAATGATATTCATTGTTTTTAAAAAACATTTATAAGTCACCTGAAGCCTTAAAATATTGATCATTCTTTATTTAAGAAATAGTCTGGTCATTTGAACAAACAAGTATAAAACCTTTTTTGAGCCCAGATTAAGGAAATATTACTGATAGAGTTAGGTATGATAATTACATATGGTTAATGGTTATGGTTATGTTTAAACAGTTTAATAATAAAAGTTTAGAATTTTTTTAAAACAGTTGGGAAATTGTTAGGAACTTGTTAATTTTCAAATAAGGGGGGGGGAAAGGTGGAGTTGGTAGGAAAGGATACAGGAACCCACCAAAAAAGTATTACAGCTGCCTGTTTTCCTGGCCACTTACTGCTACTACCAGTATAGAGAAGAACGTCTATATTAAAAACAGATAGCTTGGGACTTCCCTGGTTGCGCAGTGGTTAAGAATACACCTGCCAGTGCAAGGGACACGTGTTTGATCCCTGGTCCAGGAAGATCCCACATGCCGTGAAGCAACTAAGCCCGTGCACCACAACTACTAAGCCCATGCACCGCAACTACTGAAGCCCAGTGCCACAACTTTTGAGCCCGTGTGCTACAACTACTGAAGTCCTCGCATCTAGAGCCCGTGCTCTGCAACAAGAGAAGCCCGCGCGCCACAACAAAGAGTAGACCCCACTTGCCGCAACTAGAGAAAGGCCGTGTGCAGCAACAAAGACCCAACGCAGCCAAAAAAAAACACAAAACCCAGAGAGCTTTATTGTTTTATCTTGATTCAATATATTGGCACTTATAAAACTTGAACGTGAAAATTCACATTAAGGTTTTCTCTGATTTAGCACCGTGGAATTTGTATCTTGTTTCTGATAATAAATGTGCCACTGAACTATATATAACCTTAGCAGAGATGACTACCAAAAATCGTAATGTGTATTCTCATTCCATATTATTTCAAAAATTATCACTCAAAAAAAAAAAAAATCTCTTCACTATTCAGTTGGTCTTTGGTCCAAACTCTTCTACTCCTTGAATCCTAGGCTTTTGACCTTTATGAACAAAGATATGCTGCTGTGAAGATCCATCAGCTTAATAAAAGCTGGAGGGATGAGAAGAAGGAAAACTACCACAAGTAAATATTAATTCTTTATGATTTTTATCAATTTTGAAAATATATTTAATTGTCATGGAGAATTAATATATTCTCTTTCTCGTAGACATGCCTGCAGAGAGTATAGAATACACAAAGAACTGGATCACCCCAGAATAGTTAAACTCTATGATTATTTCTCCTTGGATACAGATACGTAAGTGAATATAAAAGGATTTATTTTTTAAGAAAAGACATGTTGGCTTTTGCTTCCCCTATTCCATAGTGATGATATAAATACTCTTCATTTGTCCATTGTGATTCTGAATTATTGGATAATATTTTATGTCTGATTTTTTTCTCTTCTCCATTGTAGGTTTTGTACAGTGTTAGAATACTGTGAAGGCAATGACTTGGATTTCTATCTGAAGCAACATAAATTAATGTCAGAGAAAGAAGCTAGGTCTATTGTAATGCAGATTGTAAATGCACTAAGATATCTCAATGAAATCAAACCCCCTATTATACATTATGATCTTAAACCAGGTAATTAATAAAAATTTTATCTAAATAATTTAAGCTTTAAAGAGTGTAATTTTTAAAAGTCATACTTACTAAGTTATCCGAAAATACGCTTTTTGGTTTAGTTTTTAAAAGTCAGTGGAATACTAGTGGTAGTAGCTGAAGTGTTTTTAAAATGTATATCACTGCATTTTAAAACTATATTTTAAATGTATATTTTAATTAGATTAAAAATTTTACATATGTATGTTAAGTGTATTATTTCCCCAAAGTCCAGCTTTAGTAGTAAAGATAATGTTTTTCATTTATGTTTCATTAAAAGAACTTTATACTTTGTTCTTAGGAAACATCCTTCTGGTAGATGGAACAGCATGTGGAGAAATCAAAATTACTGATTTTGGTCTGTCCAAGATTATGGATGATGACAGCTATGGTGTAGATGGGATGGATCTAACTTCCCAAGGGGCAGGCACTTACTGGTAAGTGTATTATTAAAAACACCAAAATTATATAGATTAGTGCCCAGTCTTTTTAATGCGAGTTTATTTTCGCATACCTTTGAGATTACTGTGGTGTGATGAGAGTACTGATATGAAGTCTCTGAGTTGAGAGACTACTGCCATCAGTCCTGTTTTCTCACCTGGTCTTAACTGTAACTATCAGCAAACCGGAGGAAGAAAAACTTGGCATCAGCAAGTGACTACCAGCTAGTTCCCTACCAGCCAGAAACTCCTAACATGGAGAATTTGTGAATCTTGTATTTGTGAATCTTGTTCTATAATGTTGGAGTGATGTTTATCATGAGTAATGATACTTAATATCTTAGCTATTAAAAGCAATAACTAATAAGCATTAAGCCCTCTCTGTAGAGGTTTTGTGGTTACAGTTTTTGTTAAGATGGATGTTTTGTCGATAATGAATGGAAGAGAAATTTGGTACAATCTTGGTCTTTGGCCTTGACGCTCAAAAATCTTTTTAATAACTCCATACATACAGATATAAATCTAGATAGAACCATAGATTCACTGATACTGATATGAGTCTAAATGAATGTCATTCCCTTCAGAGTTACCTACGTGTTGACAAAAATTACTTCAGTGTGAATTTTCAAACTTAGTATCAAATTTGCCAAAGTGGAGAACATAGACTATAAAATTTCAAAACTAATTTAGTTTTCAGAATAAATTAGTTTAGCAAAAAGAGTGAAATCTTAAATGGAAGGGAGGCAACTACTCAGCTTCACTGAGCAGGATGGTGACTACAAACATAAATGTGACTTTGGAGTCTTCAGAACAATCTTCACATAGCCTGGGCAATAATAACCAATTCTATAAAATGCCACAGGTTTGTATGGACTTTACTTTTCAGAGTAAGGATTAGTCATGTTCCATGTATTCATTTAAAGCCAGTTTAGAGTTTCAAATTATGCTTGTGACATTTTTTAGGAATATAAGATAATGTATCATAATTTTCTTTCAATATATATTCTTTAAAAGTCTATCATTCAAACTGGTAACTCCTTAAAAGTCAGTACCCTCAGTCAGTAGTAGTTAGACTTCTTTGTTTTAGCAACAAGGCTCCTTTTTTTACCACAAAATCTTAGAATCCTAATAAAACCAACAAAAATAAGGCTTCTTGGTAGAACCATGTATTCTGTGGCAGACAGCTTGAAAACCATGTTCTAAGTAATAGATCATCCTTCCTCTGCAGAGACTCCCACCATACTGTTTCCCTCTCACTCTGCCTTCCCTAGCGTAGGGCAGGGCAAGGAAATTTCCCCCTGACAGATGGGCATGAGACAGGGAAGCTTATGTTTTAGGGTGCTGTGCAGGAAGAAGATATAGTCATGGCATTTCCACGTTAGGAACCTGGAATTATATACTTCTTAGAGAAACAGCTTTCCCCAAAATGGTTAGTTTTTAATTCATATACAAACTTTTAGAATATAGGTATGTAGTGCTTTTACACATCATCCCCAGAAGCTTAAATTATTTGTCAGTATTGCTTAGAAGAAAACGAGTTTTGTTTCTCCCTTCCTCTTGGGTCTCAAATGCAAGCATCCACTAAATCCTGCTGGTCGTTTTCCCCGAGTAGCTTTGGTATCTATTCCTACACTTCCTCTCCTTGCTTATATACCCTTTTACCTTGAGAGACGGTATAGCACAGTGTTTAAGAGTCATTCTTGTTTCAGTTACACACACATAAACCTACAGAAAATATACGCTTTTATTCATAAAACAAATCTGGCTTTTTACTTGATTTGGAGGGTAGGAAAGGATTTACATCACAAATAAGTTATCGGTCATCTGTGAATGTTCTGCTGAAATTTAAACGATTTTTTTTAGTTTTATACTCACTATGCTAAAAGAGTAGCTTCCCATTTAGCTGTAGTATTCCTTTTCAGGACTTGGTAGTTTATCTAAATTTTTGAAGTGTGAGATGCTTGCATCCTGATGGAGCTTTTTATCAATACTTATAACCTAAGGTTAAAAGTAAAAATTTATTTTTACTTATATGTACTTTTACCTTTTAAATAAATTTTACAATCTATTTTTACCTTTTATCTAAAATTATGAATTTATAAATAAAAATAGTATTTTTGAATGCTCCATATATTTCTGATGCTGCCTGCTACTGTTTGAAACTGTACGCTGAATTAACGCTGTAATGGAGGTAACATCTGCCTGGAGGGAAGCAGAGAAGGCTTGTGAAAGTTGGGTGGGTCTTGAAGAAGAAAGGGTGGTCACTGTGTGAACTGGAGTAGTTAAGGAAGGCATAAGAGGTTGTCATATTCAGAGGCATTGGGGGGAAGCACAGTGTAGGGAACCAAGTGAATCGGCTTTGCCTCACCAGTTTGAGAGGCTGGGGGTCAGGAAAAGAGATTTTGGAAATTTAAGTTGCTGCTAGATTAGGACAGGTCTCGTGTTACAAGCAAGAGATACGAGGTCTTGCCTGGGCAGTGAGTGAGGTTGAGGTTCTTTAAACAGAAGAACTGGCTGGTCAGATGTGTATTTTAGGAAGAGAACTTCCTACAGTTTGCAGATTGGTGAAGGGGGATAGGAGAGGATTCTTCTATTAGTAGATACTTAGAACATTGTAATTTCTAATGATAATTTATCATTTCTGTAGATCATACACTACAGAAATAATGTATATAAGTTGACCCTTGAACAGTGCAGGGGCACCGGTCCTCTGCACAGTCAAAAATCTGAGTATAGCTTGCAGTTGCCCTTCATATACGTGGTTCCTCCACATGCCCGAAATTCAACCAGTCAGGGATTGTGTAGTGCTGCAGTATTTACTATTGAAAAGAAGCCTCATATAAGTGAACCCGTGCAGTTTGAACCCGTGTTGGAAAAGGGTCGACTGTATATTACATACTTTAACCACAAAGTTGTTTGTTTGTTTTGGCTCTAAAGTCAAATGATACAGGGATACAAATGCTTTAAAAGTTAGGACTTTAATCAGTGAAAATCACCTAAGATTTTTGTATGGATAAAATGAGTGTAAGATTTTACATTTAGAAGGTTTTAAATTATAAATTGTTAATATCCTCTCCTTTTTTTCTCCCCCCAAAACTAGGTATTTACCTCCTGAGTGTTTTGTAGTTGGAAAGGAACCACCGAAGATTTCCAACAAGGTTGATGTGTGGTCAGTCGGAGTCATCTTCTTTCAGTGTCTTTATGGTAGAAAAGTAAGTTGAAGTATAACATATTCAGCTCTATGGAGACAAGTTGAATTTTCCCCTTTTAAAGTTTCATTAACCTTAAGTCAGTTTAGTCAAGAATTCCAAGAATGGAGACCTGGTTGAGGCAACAACAAAAAAACCCAAAATAACCGTTTATTTGGTAAGGTTAGGAGCAGCCTGGGAAGCAGAAATACATGAAAGCACTTGAATTGTGTTCCGCTGGACTACAAAAGCGGGGGAGGGTGCTTATAGGCAAAAAACTGCAAGCTTACACAAATTGTCAAGAATTAGGATTGGAGCTGGCAAGAAATAAGGGTGCTTGTTAAGCTTGTTTGAAATGATTACATAGTTGGCGGGGGGGGGGGACTTTGAAAGTACAAGGTTGCAGCTGGCAATTGCTAGCAAATAGATATGGTTTTGAAAACATCTAGTGGTTTCCTTTAGTTTGATACAGTTCAGAAAGTTCAGGTCTTCTCTCATGCAGGAATGTGTCTGAAACCACATCCACAGTGGCCACCCAGCTCCATTTTGGATGCCTGAACCATAGTTAACTCCACTTGATTTTTTAAATGATCTTAAATATATCATCACTTCCTAAAATTTCCGTGGACCAGAATTATTTTAATGTCACAACAGCTTCTTTGGCCTGCTCTTTGCCTTTTTTTTCTTTTAAGAAGAAGAAGTAACTAATCTGTTAACAGTGCTAACGTTTTTCTATTGCTAGGAATAAAGGAGTCAAAACTGTTCATGATCCTCCATTCTCTCCACTTCCTCACCTCCTCTCCCCCATTCCCACCCCACACACACAGTTTGGCCTGAGCATGTTTCCTCCTGTGCTTCCTCGGGGAAATTCCATCAAACTTAGTACTAATTTTTCCCAAACCTCTCTTTACATTGAAGTCAGAACTGTAAGCTACCATAGATATCCTTATCCCATTCAGTCCCTCCATCAGTGTGAAAAGAGAGATTCAGGGACTTGTCTGGGAACTCACTGCATGTTAGGACCAAACCCAGAGCTGATTCATTTAAGTTAGTGTGTCATATACTCAAGGTATTTCACTCTTTGGGCTTTTCACAGATGTTTCCGCTACTTCTCCGTCTCTTCTCTAATTAAACTTAAATTTTAAACATTTAGAATAAAATTTAAATTTTTTTGGTTTTTATTTTTATCTTAATTACTTATATTGCAATGGTATTATTTTCTATTGCTTATTCACAATGTTTTGGCTATGCTAAGGATTGATCAGATGCTGTTCCTCAGCCTGCTATCAGTTACTATCAGTTATAACCTTGTTTCTATGAGAATGCATCCCAGCTTGCAAGTAACTGAGAATGAGTTTTTTAGAACACAAATCATTTGTATCTTGGGGAATTCTCTGATAATATCTGTTTAAATATTTTGTGAGATAAATTTCTCAACATTGTATTTTTTTTTTTTTAAAGCCATTTGGTCATAATCAATCTCAACAAGACATTCTTCAAGAAAATACAATATTAAAAGCCACAGATGTCCAGTTCCCTGTAAAACCGGTTGTAAGCAGTGAAGCAAAGGTACTAAGTTTATGAAAATAAGCTTTGTGAAGTAAATTTTTGATTTCATAAATTGTGCTTAAAACAGAGTAAGTACTTGTTAAATAAGTAGGTAAAGCAAAAGGGATTGCAGCCACAGGAAAAGCTGTCCAGTAGGGGCTGGTGATTTGCTCTGGAGAAGAGTTGCTTTAGGCCCTTGGTTGTGACCGTTTTTGAGCACCCAAATACGGTCTGTGATTCTTTTAAGAAGCCAGGCAAAGGAGAACATAATCTACGATGACACAAAGTTTAAAACAAGCAGAACTCAATTATGGTGTTTAAAAGTCAGGATAGCTGTTACCCCAATAGATTGGGGGCAGAGCCAGTGCCTGAAAGTGGGCATGAAGAGTCTTAGGAGTTCTGATAAAGTTCTTTTTTTGCCAGTTACATAGATAATTCACTTTGTGCTGTACACTCTGTGCTCAATAGGAAGAAAGTACTAGGGCAAAAATGGCATCATACCCTTTGGCCAAACTAAATTGACAGTAAAGTGGAATGAGGGTGAAAGGAGTGTTTTACAGAAGACAAATTCCAGAAAAAGAAGACTCCAGAATTTTGTAGGGAGAAATGCAGTATTCCACATTCAACACAGTTACAGGCATACCTCAGAGATATTGTGGGTTCAGTTCTGAACCACTGCAAATAAGGCGAATATTGCAATAAAGAAGTCACACATAGTTTTTGGTTTCCCGGTGCATATAAAAGTTAAGTGTGCAATAGCATTATGTCTTAAAAAAATAATGTACATACCTTAATTAAAAATACTTGCTTGCTAACTGTTAACCATCCTCTGAGCCTTCAGCCAGTAGTCTTTTTGCTTGTGGAGGGTCTTGCCTTGCTGTTGACGGCTGCTGACTGAGCAGGGTGGTGGCTGCTGAGGCAATTTCTTGGTCTCTTCCTTTCATGAACCATTTCTCTGTAGCATGCAGTGCTGCTTGAAAGAAGTTCTACTGTGGGTAAAAAGCTTTCAAAATTGGAGTCAGTCCTCTTAAACCCTGCCACTGCTTTATGAACTAAGTTTATGTAATATTCTAAATCCTTTGTTGTCATTTCAGCAATTAAGTTTGCAGTCTTACATGGGTGCAGTTCATGACCTCCGCCAAACAGTTACAAAAGTAGCAGAAATCACTGATCACCATAACAAATATAATAGTGACATAACAAATATAATGGAAAGTTTGAAATATTGCTAGAATTACCAGATGTGACACACAGACGCAAAGTGAGCTGTTGGAAAAATGGTGCTGATAGATTTGCTCAGTGTGGGGTTGCCACAAACGTATAATTTGTGGGAAAAAAAAAACGCAGTATTTGCAAAGTACGGTAGAACAAGGTGAGCCTGTGTTGGAAGTCCTAGCCAGAATAGTTAGTTAGGCAAGAAAAAGAAGTAAAAGGCATACAAATCAGAAAGGAAGAAGTAAAACTGTCACTATTTGCAGATAACATCATTTTATATATAAAAACCCTTAAGACACCACCAAAAAAGTTAGAACTAATCAACAACAAATTCAGTAAAGTTGTGGGATATGAAATCAATGCAACAAAGTTTTATGTATTTCTATATACTAAAAGAGCAGAAAGAGAAATTAAGAAAACAATCCCGGGGACTTCCCTGGCAGTCCAGCAGTTAGGACTTGGCGCTTTCACTGCTGGGGCCCAGGTTCGGTCCCTGTTTGTTTGGGGTGCAGCCAAAGAGAAAACAAAACAATCCCATTTACAGTCACATCAGAAAGAATAAAACTATAAGACATTGATGAAAGAAACTGAAGAAGGCACAAGTAAATGGAAAGATATTCCATGTTCATGGATTGGAAGAATTAATGTTCAAATGTCCATACTACTAAAAGCAATCTACAGATTCAGTGCAATCCCTATCAAAATTCCAACAGTATTTTTCACAGAAATAGAGCAAACAGTCCTAAAATTCATATGGAAACATGAAAGACCCAAATAGTCAAAGCCATCTTGAGAACAAAGCTGAAGGTCTCATGCTCCATGATTTCAAACTACATTTCAAAGCTGTAGTATTCAAAACAAACAGTACGGTATGCCGTGGAACAACTAAGCCTGTGTGCCACAACTACTGAGCCTGTGCTCTAGAGCCCACGAGCCAGAACTATTGAAGCCTGCATGCCTGGAGCCTGTGCTCCACAACAAGAGAAGCCACCACAATGAGAAGGCCGCACACCACAACAAAGAGTAGCCCCTGCTCGCCACAACTAGAGAAAGCCCACATGCAGCAACAAAGACCCAACACAACCAAAAATAAATAAATAAATAAAATTGATTCTTTAAAAAAAAACAAAACCATATGGTATTGGCATAAAAATACACAGATCAATGGAACATAATTGAGAGCCCTGAATAAACCCACACATGTATGGTCAATTTATGACAAAGAAGCCAAGAATATACAATGGGGAAAGGGTGGTCTCTTCAATAAATGGTGTTGGGAAAACTAGACAGCCACATAAACAAGGATGAAACTGGACCACTATCTTATGTCATACACAAAAAGTAACTCAAAATGGATGACAGTCTTGAACTTAAGACTAGAAATCATAAAACTCCTAAAAGAAAACATAGGTGGTAAGCTCCTTGACATAGGTCTTGGTGAGGAATTTTTGTATTTGACAACAAAAGCAAAGGCAACAAAGTAAAAGTAAACAAGTGGGACTGCATCAAATGAAAAATCTGCACAGCAAAGGAAACCATGAACAAAATGAAAAGACAACTTACCAAATGGGAAAAATATTTGGAAATCATACCTGATAAGGCATTAATATCCAAAATATATAAAGAAATCAAACAATCCGATTAAAAACAGAGGATCTGTATAGGTTTTTTCCCAAGGAGGACCTACATATGGCCAACAGGTGCATGAAAAGATGCTCAACATCACTCATAATCAGGGAAATCCAAATCAAAACCACAGTGAGATATCACCTCATACCTGTAGAATAGCTATTATCAAAAAGACAAGAAATGAGTGTTGGCAAGGATGTGGAGACAAGGGAACCTGTGTGCACTGTTGGTGGGATTGTGAATTGGTGCAGCCAATATGGAAAACAATGTGGAGGTTCGTTGGAAAATTAAAAATAGAACTACCATATGATCCAGCAGTTCTACTTTTGAGTATTTGAAGAAAACAAAAACAACTCAAAATGATATGTGCATCCCCATGATCATTGCAGCATTATTTACAATACCCAAGACATGGAAGCAACCTTAGGTGTCCATCGTGAGATGAATGGATAAAGAAAATGTGGTGTGTGTGTATATATACATATATAAAATGGAATACTGTTCAGACATTAAACAAAAGGAAATCTTGCCATTATATGTAGAATCTTAAAAAAAACCAAGCTCACAGATACAGAGAAGAGATTGGTGGTTGCCAGAGGTGGGTGGGTGAGGGGTGGGCAAAATGGGTGAAGGGGGCCAAAAGGTAAAAACTTCCAGTTATGTAAGTCATAGGGATGTAATGTACAGCCTGGGGATTATAGTTAATAATACTATATTGCATATTTGAAAGTTGCTAAGAGTAGATCTTAAAAGTTCTCATCACACGAAAAACAATTGTATAACTACATATGGTGACAGATGTTAACTAGACAATTGTGGTGATCTTTTCACAGTACAAATGTTGAATCATTATGTTGTATATCTGAAACTAATATGTCAATTTTTTTTTAATTACCATATGATCCAGCATTTCTACTTCTAGGTAGATACCAAAAAAAGTGGAAGCAAGGACTCAGATATTTATATACCAACATTCATAGCAGCATTATTCACAATAGTTAAAAGGTAGAAACAATCCAAATGTCAACCAAGAGATAAATGGGTAAACAAAATGTAGTATGTACATGCAGTGGAATATTATTCAGCCTTAAAAAGGAATGAGGCCCGTGAGCCATGGCCACTGAGCCTGCCCATCCGGAGCCTGTGCTCTGCAACAGGAGAAGCCACAACTGTGAGAGGCCCACATACTGCAAAAAAAAAAAAAAAGGAATGAAATTCTGATGCATGCTACAACATGGATGACTCAAACATCATGCTAAGTGAAAGACACTAAAGGACAAATAAATATTGTATGATTCCACTCATATAAGGTACCTAGAATAGCCAGATCATAAAGGAGCACAAGTGGTTACCAAGGGCTGGGGGAAGGAGCAATGGGGAGATACTGTTCAATGGGTGCAGAATTTCAGTTTTAGATGATGAAAAAGTTCTGCAGATGTATAGTGGTCATGTTGTACAGCAATGTGAATGTGCTTAATGTCACTGAATTGTACACTCAAGGGTTAAAAAATGCTAATTTTATGTTATGTATATTTTAATCTCAATAAAAATTGAGGGGAAAAAATGCAGCTTTCCAGCAATAAGTTTAAATGGTAGTAATAGTATTTAGACTGTAAAGTGAACTACTAGGGGGCTGTGAGTTGAGAGTTGAATTTGGAGTGATAATTTTACTGCTACAATTTTTTTTTTAATTTATTTTACTTATTTATTTTTGGCTGCGTTGGGTCTTTGTTGCTGCACGTGGGCTTTCTTTAATTGTGGCAAATGGCGGCTACTCTTCATTGCAGAGCACGGGCTCTAGAGCACAGGCTCAGTAGTTTTGGCACATGGGCTTAGTTGCTCTGCAGAATGTGGGATCTTCCCGGACCAGGGCTCGAACCCGTGTCCCCTGCATTGGCAGGCAGGTTCTAACCACTGCACCACCAGGGAAGCCCTGTTGCTACAATTTCTTAAAAAATTTGAATCCCCAGTGAAGTAAAATCTATTTATTGTCTTAAATGTGTCCATCATCTGTAGTATTTAGTTGACTGATATTTAGAAGAGGAAAAGATTTTAATTGCTGACTTTTTTTTTTTTAAGGCCTTTATAAGACGCTGTTTGGCATACCGAAAAGAAGATAGGTTTGATGTGCACCAACTGGCAAATGACCCCTACCTTCTCCCACACATGAGAAGATCCAATTCTTCAGGAAACTTACACATGGTTGGGCTGACAGCATCCCCTACACCCCCTTCTTCAAGCATAATTACTTACTGACTTTCCTCCAAAATTGGCATGATGTCTTTGAATTGCTTCCAGATGCATACTTGAGTTTGAGAGCTTTTGAGTGTTTTTGTTGTTTTCTTTTTTACACAGGATATGGTTGAGAACTGTTTGTGAACTGAAGTTCTTCATAGCATCGTTTGTATGAGAGTGGATCATGGACAGTGAATAAGTGTACAGTTCTGACTGTAATCTTGAGCAGTGAAGGGTGACTGCCTGTTGCACAGAAACAGGAATACCATGTTAAGATAAAAGAAAAAGGTTTTTTGGGGGGAACACTGTAAATAACATTTATAATACTTAAATACATTTGGTTGTTACTAGAGAGTTCTAATATGAAGGGTGGTTTTTCATTATTTAAAAACACATGGAAAAAATATGAGACATATTTCTAACACAGGAACTATCTAGTGCCTGGATACATTCTTCAGCATTCAGCAGTTTATCTGCTGCAACCAAAGTAAGAACTGAATGACAGTGACAGTTGTACAGTTGTGTTTTATAGTAATAGAATGTGAGAGACTCTTTGGACAAAGTTATTAGACTTTTGTCATTTGCCTGTTCTGGCTTTTACCAAGTTGTACCTCGAAATCACATGTCCGCTTTTTTCACTGGTCATGTTAAAGGGAGAGCTATTCCTAGATACATTACACCTTTGACAAAGTGAGCTGCTTGTTTTGAAATCAGCTGAAGTCACTAAATTATAATATCTCCAGTGTTCTCAACATGTTAGAATTGTTAACAGGTATTTTTCTTTTGTTACCAGGCCTTGTTCATTCAAACAAGAGACAATATGTAACCAAATGCAGACCAGTTCTATGCAGGATAATGATAAATTCCCTTCTAGCTCTATTGTAAATTGTGTACAGATGTCGTATTTCAATTACCGAGTTTCAGCAGCTTATTCTTGTACAAATGTTTAAAAATATGCCTTTTCTAATTGGATATTGTATTTTTTTTAAGTCTTCTTGAAGGCGCTTTAATTGCTGCTAAATGGTGTTGCTTCTTTGCTAAAAAAATCAAATGACCTCCTTAAAGGTGCAAGCTGACTGTACATTATAGAGAGATTATTAAAAGCAGGCATTTATTAACAATCAAGGCATGTAAAAATGATCCGTGTTGGACATAAAGAGCTCTCGAAATCAGTTTCTTGGTTTCTAGGGCTGTGGAGCACATATATACTAGATTTATAAATTGTTCATGGTAATCCTACATTTCTAGAAAGTTCTTATCAGCAAGGTGGGATGATGGTCCCTTAAATGAGTTTCTTGTGGTTTGTACAGATTTGTTAAAATGTGAACATTTTCTAACTGCCTTGTATGGTAGAAACCATTATTTTTCAGGATGCTGTCACTCCTCTAAGAAACTTCTTTATCATCACATTCGTAATGCTGATACTTACATGTAAATTGTCCATGTTGCCGAAAAAGGAGGCTATGCTTACCACAGATTCCCCTTAATATTGTACAGTTAAACCATGGCTCTTGTTCTTTCATTGTACATAGACACATTGTCTCTTTAAGATGCTGCTGAAATTGTAGAGAATGTAGCCAAAACAGTAATAAACAATGACAGTTAAAATTCAAAGACTATGAAGTTACATTTGAAGGGAGCTTTCAAGATTTAGGACATTGGCTGACTTGGCTCCTTAAGAATTAACTGAATAAATTCTTGAAGTATACTTCAGGATAAGTATGAAGCGTTTCAAGCTGTTAAAGTGTACCTAATAACCATTATCAAAGCTAATCCTGGGTAAGTAACACTTAGCCATATCGGGAATGGTTTAAGGGCTACACCTGTTCCTCTGTAGATGAAGATAGAAGTCCTATTTAAAAAAATATTGATGTGGTAATGGAATGCAGCATCAATTGAGCAGTGCTTTAGGTGCTGTCGGCCAATTTTTCAATTTTGTTGAGTTTTCATCTTTCTGAATCCTGAAATACTATGTTCATATAGTAACGGTTATTTGAAGTCCTGAATTAAAAGAAAGTACTCAGTTTGTTTAAAATTTTGGTGAGAGATTTAAGTGGATGTGTACATCTAACATGAGATTGAAGAAGTGGTACAGACCCAGATCACTGGTTTTGACCACACTATTTGCAAATGAATGAAAGTGACTGCCACTGTCAAAATGCGGAAAAGGTGAACAAGCCATAAAATAAAAGTGCTTCCCTGGGTTTAGGTAATCATCTGTTTAGAGTCCAAGATGTATAGGCAGTAAATGAGTTTAGAGACCTTCTATTCCTCCTAAAGTATTTCCAAAGAAATGATACAGATTTGGGGTAGTACGCCCATATCTCAGCAGGTACAAGATAGCTGTAATTGAGCCAAAGTGAGTACTGTTACCTTCACCTGGGAAACTGGTATTTGTCACTAAGTAGTTTCAGTCACTGGCAATCTTTGGCTCTAACATCTTGAAGCTTACATTGTTTTTTGGTCTCCTCAATTCTGTCCTCAGAATTAAAGTATTTCCTATATGCCTAAGACAGTAGCCAAGGTCTTCTCCCTTTAAGCACTGCAAGGTAAATGTACAGTTTTTTTGCATAGAATTTGAAATCTTTGTTTGGTATGAATTAGCTTTAGTGCATATGCATGTTGAGAGGAAGGAAGTGTAGAAACCACCCTAATTTATTAAGTCTGGAGTTGGGTAGATATTTGGTTGTTTTTCAAAAATAAAGTTTCAGGTCTCTTTTTTACTTGCTGCCATCCCCTGCTCCTTATAAATAATTTTCAATTTAAATAGTACATAAAATGTGAACAGATAACTTCTACAAATACCTCATTACATGAAACCAAAATGGTAGAATTTCAGTGAAACAAATTTAAAGAGTATATTGTGTTTTGCTGTTGATCGTTGCTTATTAAATGCAATAATGCTGATTACCATCAGACGTTATTGGCTATGTTTTGCAGTGGTAGTGCAGACAGTCCAGTCCTATTAGATTGTGAGTTTACTCTTAGAATTTACATTACCGTTTGATTTGTGTGAAAAAGACAGCCTTACTCTTAGTCCTTTAAAATCACACTGGCACGTCTTACTCTAATCCCACTTTAAATTTTGACATGTTATCTGATCATTTTCCTCCCAAGCTTAATCTGTTTCAAAAAGTGTTTTAGCACCTAGTTTTTAAATAAAATTGTTAGAATTCTAGTTCTTGGATTTCAGGAATTCTGTAACAGTTTTAGAATTTCTATAACTTATCTGTTGATTTGAATTACAACATACACATCTCCATTTACCTTCCCCTGCTTTCATTTCCCTCCTTTTTTTTTTTTTTTTTTTTTGAGGATTTTTCTCCCTGGGAATTCTTGGATTTTTGAATGGGAAAGATTTGAGTAAATGTATGTAAACTGACTTCAAAAGGATTGTGTAGAGCCAGAGAAATTAGAAGAGTCATCTTTCATTAGGATCAAAACGCATAGTTTTCACCTGGAAATCCTCACTCATTTAAAATACTAGAGATGTAGTTACCTACGTCCCTATGACTGTTTTTAAAAAGGCAGTAACAATAATACTGGTTAAGAATTCATATTTTAGAACCAGATTCTTCGGGCTTAAATGTTGACTGCCATTTCCTACCTGTGTTTCAGGTTCCTCATCTAAAAATGAAGATAACAGTGCGACCATACAGAGTGGTTGCAAGGAGTAAACGAGCTCACATATTTAAAACCCAGCACATTGTAATACCACGTATATAAAGCTGCTATTATTTTTTTTTTTTTTTTTTTTTTTTTTTTTTTTTT